TGTTAGTTGGGTTCACAGTTGTTTTTCGCCGCGACTCTTTTTTGTTGCGGGGTACTCGGGCTCCAAAGCGCCCTCCCAAACGTATTGTTTTCGCTTCGCGACGCTGGAGGTCCGAGTCCTGGCGCAAAAACTACCAGCTACGCTGCAGTTCCAAGTCCTTAGTCGCGTGCCCACGTCCTCATCCGAGGTGGAGCGGCTGAAGGGCCTCGTCGACTCGCACGACGTCGTGTGCATGCTCACGGACCGACCGCGGCCAACGGCCCTTGTGTGTGGATGGGGCGCTTGAAGTCGGCGGCGCGCAGAGGGGCATGGCGAGGTGAGACATCGGTAGTTGGCCTTTAAGGGGGGGGGCCTTCGTCGCCACGGCTGAACTCTGCTTGGAAATCCGGTGTATTTGGAGCTTGGAAAAGGGGTCTGAGGGATCAGTTTTGAGTTGCCGTTGGCTGAACTCGCCCTGCTCCGAGGGAGGCGTGCTCGAGGAGGGTGGCCTTGGAAGACCGCGGTTGCGCAGAATTCCTTTTGCAGTCCAAGCAGGGCGCCCCGTGCCTTTTCAGACGGCCGCCCCCCGTGCCTCTCCGCCCCCTCTCGTGCGCGACGCCAACTCGCGCTCAGGATGAGGGGTGAGGTGAGTGGACGATCACGAAGAATGGGGCGGCTGGGGCGGGGAGAAGACAATATGATGAGGAGGAGGGTAAGTTTGGGAAGCGCGTGTTCCCGATCCTCTTCTAATGTTAGGTTCTTGTGTTGGGGTCAATGCCCTGCCTCCGCTGGCCCCCTCCCCTCCGGGCCTCCTCCCTCCTCGCTCACACCAATCACACTCAGACTCACCAATGTTCAGACCCACTCATACCCAGATTCATGGTTACGCAGACTTGCTCACAGTTCGACACACTCAAAATCAGGCCCACTTATGCGCTGGCCCACCCTTCTTGATACGCAGACCCTCTCATTTCAGATGCACTCTCGCTCAGGCTTCCTCGGGTCCAGAATTCGCTATTCCGCAGGCATCGCAGTTGGGCCTCCCAGGGGGTAGCAGTCACAAGGGGGTCTGACACCTGCCCGTTCGCGCCCAGGTTGGTAATAGCTCTCAGGTCGAACGCCCGTTTTTTGGGGCGATGCACGCAGTTCCCTTGTAACCCCATGATCACCGTGACGTGGCAGTCATTGAACTTGGGCCTCCCAATGGGGAGCCGCCAGGGGGTGCGACACAGGCCCGGCCGCGCATGGATTGGTTGGACCTCTCCTGCAGGACGCCCGTCCCAGGGGGGAGGACATGTCTTGTGTCAAATCCCCCATGATTACCGCGACGTAGCAGGCATAACACACGGGTCTCCAAAATACGGAAGCCGTGTGACACGGGCCCGTTCGCGCCCGGATTGGTGGAAGGTCTGAAACAGAACGCCCATTTGGGGGTGTCTGCGTGTCTCTTTTCGCGCCCCTGTCGGTAGGGCCTCTCAGGCAGAACGCATTTGTTGTGGGTGGGAGGGGTGGGGGGCAGATGTGCCCCATTCTCACTGCAATGTAGCAGGCACCCAGCTCGGGCCTCCCAGTGAGCGGTCGCCAGGGCGTACGAGATGGATCCTTTCGCTCCCATTTTGGTGGGATCTCGCGAGTCGAACGCCCTGGGATCACTGCGATGTAGCAAACATCGCCACTCGGGCTTCCCAATGGAGTAGCCGCGGGGTGCGGTTTGCTGCGGCTGCGCCTCGCATCGGCAGCAGGAGAGCTCGACTGCACCTGGGCCCCTCGACCGCGTCCTCACTCAAACGGGGCCGCCCCATCCCCCAGGACTCCCGCGAGTCGCGGTGGCTCCCGTCGCTGCTCGTGGCGGCCAGCCAGCAGCGGGCGCTGTTGCAGCCAGAGGACGCTCGCGGGCGGGGGGGGGGCGGGGCTGCAGGGAGGAGCTCGCGCAGAGAGGTGCTAGGACGGAAGAGGGAGGAGCATCAGATATGAATCTGACAGGTGGGGGGGATGAGGGCGACGACGACGACGACGAAGGCGACGAGATGATAAGGCGAGCTTGGGGCTCGTTGGAGGAGAGGCCTCGTGCGCCAGGGGCTCGCCCTTGGGACCACGATGGGGCTCCGCTGCGGAGCCTCAACAAGGCAGCGGCGGGAAGCGCGATGACTCTGACCAGCATCGAGGCCGCCGATGCCCGCGCGCAGCGTCGATTCGCGTTGGGAGTTCGCGCTCTCGCAGTGGATGATATTGCCGCAGTGCTTTTGCCTATGGCCTGGAAGCCGCGGTTCGGTTTGGTTCGGTTCGGCCCGCGCCTGGCTCGGTTCTGCCGGTTCGGCTCGCGTCGCAGACTGGCTCGGTTCCACAGGTTCGGTTCGAACATGGGTCGGGGCACCCCGTACTCAAAGTAATATTTGGCCGGCTTTTGTAGCGCTGATTTGCAGTGATGCACGGTTCTTGCTCTGGCTGTGGAACGCATGTCTTCTCTCCCCCCTTACTCTGTCTTTCCCTTTGTTTCAGCTGTTGTCCAAGAGTTGATGGCGTGTGGGGGGCCTCGAGTGTACGGTTAGTCTGGGGCTCCGCCGGTGGTTGTTGGTGTTGGCATTGCAGTTTTCGCTACCCCGAGTTCGCCCATCCACTCATTGCGGGCCGCGCATATCCACCGAGATGCTTGCACCAGCGTTTGCGAGTGAATGCGGCCTGGGTCGGCGGGGGGGGCGGCCTTGATGGGATTGTCGCTCATTCTTGATATTGCACGAGTGGCAAGCCAGTCATGGATGGCCGTGTCAACACCACTACGAAACGAGACCAAGGAATGCGGACGAGGATGGGCAGGACGAGGAGCTGGATGAGGATGAGAGGGAGGATGAGAGAGAGGCAGCAGAGAACCAAGAGACACATGATAACAATGAAAATGGGGGTGGATGGTCAGGTTCATGAGAGGTCTGAGGCGGATGATGAAGATGTGGAGCATCTGGAGCAGCAGGAGAGTGTGGAGGGGGGGGGTAAGGAAATACAGCGAGAAGCAGAGAAGGATGGAGGGCTGGGATCAGAATGGGGAAAGGGATCAGGAGCAGGCGTATGACAATGATCAAGTTAACCAGGTCGATACGTCAGCGGGCCCCGCCCATGCCTACCCTCCCTCCAATACCAGAAGAGCCAGTGGTGACACAACTTGATATTGGGACTGGGACGTGCCCCCCCCTAGCGAACGGAAGGCGCTCGCCCGCAGTCCCGCTTCTGACGACTTGTCGAGGGGAAGACACGCGGGACGCGCAGAGCACCATTTGGCCTTCTCTCGTGCGGCCAAGTGCCCGATGAGAGCGACGAAGACTAAGCATGCGCTGCGCCGGCATAGCACTGGTTCCTTCACGCACGAAGTGCGTGACGCTTGGGCAAGGACAGCTTTTCGCCCGCTCTCGCGCGGCCCCGCTGCCGCTGCCGCTCGCATGCGATTCGGTGAGCCCGCGCGGGGACGCCTCATCCAAACCAAATCTGCACGGAGATTGGTCGAAGGCGACCAGTCGCCGGCTTGCGCGCGGCCCCGCCCCCACCGACTCGGCGAGGAAAATGAATATGCGCCGCGCTGAAGGCGCTGAACTGCAGTGGCGGGAGCAAGAGGATGAGGGTGTGAATAGGGTATGGGGGTGGCGAGGAGGAGAGCGAGACGAAGGAGGAGGACGAGGAGGACGAATACGAGGAGGATTGTGAGAATGTGTGCGCGCGCGTTCGCTGCTTTACGACCTTCTCCGCCCTGTCGCCGCGCGCAGGGCTGCGATGCCAAAAAGTGTATGTGTGTGTGTGCGTGTGTGTGTGTGTGTGTGTGTGCGTGCGTGCGTGCGTGCGTGCGTGCGTGCGTGCGTGCGTGCGTGCGTGCGTGCGTGCGTGCGTGCGTGCGTGCGTGCGTGCGTGTTTTGTGTATGTGTGTAAGAGAGAGAGAGTGTGTGTGTGTGTGTGTGTGCGTGTGCGTGTGCGTGTGCGTGTGCGTGTGCGTGTGCTATGTGTGTGTGTGCGTGTGCGTGAGAGAGAGAGGGAGAGTGTGTGTGTGTTTGGAGATTGAGAGCAGGCGCGAACGAGAAGGATACTGAGGAGGCAGGAGGAGGAGGAGGAGGAGGAGGAGGAGGAGGAGGAGGCATTACGAAAAGATACGAAAAGGATGGGCATGGAGGAGGGCGCGGATATGGGGCAGGAAGAGGCGCTTAGGAGGGGAGGGATGGTGATGCACGGTAGGCAGCAGGAGGTCAAATTGTGTCACGAGGACGGGGGGAGGAGTGGCGGAAAAGTGATGTACGAGGGGGCGGCAGGGCAGGCGACACGGGCACATGAGGAGGAGGATACAAAGGAGGATGCATGGAGGATGTGAAGACTCTGCTGCCGCGGAGGACGAGGATGATCATGAGGAGGCCGAGGAGAGCGAAGGGGAGGACCAGGAGAGAGCGACCGGGGGCGAGGAGGGAGTGGAGAGTAGGAGGGAAGGGCATGAGGAGAAGGAGGAGGATGCGGAAGAGGAAGTGTAGGATACGGAGCAGAAGGAGGAGGATGTCGAAGATATAGTGAGGAGGAGGAGGAGGAGGAGGAGGAGGAGGAGGAGGAGGCGGATGTTATCTGATTGCGTTCGGCATGCGGGGCGTCCCTAGACAGCAATCCATGGGTGGGGCAGGTGTTGTAGCTGACGGCACCAGTTGTTCTCTCACCCGCTGGTGACGTCTGCACCATGCGCTGGCCCCGCGCTGTAGCTGAAAGCGTGGACCATTACCTTCCCTTGACACGTCGGGCACTTTACGTTTTCGCTGAACCATAAAAAGGGAACCTTCAGGCATGCGGCTCCAGCTTCCCTCCCGCTGCGAGTGCGCGTTCGGATGGCCGATCCTTGTGTTACAGAGGGGAATGGTCGGTTTCAGCCACGGCTCGATGAACCCATCGATTTAGTTGACGTGTGGGCTCAACGTTTTTGTTGCATGTGCGTCCAGTCTCCGATCGTTGAGCCCAAGTTGTAGCTGATGGCGGTGGGCTCCATTTTCTTCCCGCCAATTCTGGCTTTCTCGGGCGTTCGGTTCCCAGGGCTGTAGTGGAAGACGTTTGGGCTCAAATGTCTTCTCATACTTGCTGCCATCGTTCGGTCGTCGTTCCCACGGTTGTAGCTGATGACAACGGGCTCCATCCTCTTTTTTCAGTTACTCCCGTTCCTTGGCGCGAAGGGGGTCCAGTGCTGTAGCTTGAGTTGCTGGGCTCCAGCTGCTTCTAACACACTTTGCCAAAGACGTGTGGCTTCAGCTCCTTCGCACATCGGCCTTTGCTTCCCGGCGTGATGGTTGCATGACCGTAGCTAATGGCGTTGGACTCTAGTTTTGTTATACATCTTATTTGTTTCCCAGCTGCGCCGGCCCCTGGGCTGTAGATGAAGACGATGAGCTCCTGCTGTTTCTCCCAAACTTTCCCGAAACCTATGTGCTCGAGCTTGTCCCACAACTGGTTCCACTACACGGCGCGTTGTTTCCAGGGCTGTGACTGACGGCAACGGGCTTTGCACCCTCGCCCATTACCGGCACTGGGCGAGCGCCCGCCGTAGGCAGCGGTGCCCATCGCTCCCCTGTCGCTGAGCTGTTGCCGCGGGTGGCGGCGAAGGGCCAAAGTCCAACCCAGCGCTCCGCCTTCTCATCTCTGGGACGCCGCTGGCTTCTCCCTTCCCTCTTCCCTCCACGCCGGGCGTCCACACGATCATCCAGAGAGACATGGATGCTTGATGTGACTCCTCCTTTCTGATGACGCTGCCTCTCCAAAGCCGGCCGGCTCAAGCGAGCTCGCATGCTCTTGGGTGCGGCATGGCACTTACGAGAGGATTGGCTGAGGGAAAGAGGGAGGATGAGGAGGAAGAGGAGGCCTAGAGGTTGACGCCAACACCAATATCGGCGGTGTGCCGCCACCACGGGAAGATCGCCCACATTTCGGTGATGGCGGTGATATTCGGGCTTCCACGGTAGCCGATATATTATCACCGAAGCCAGAATCTAGGATCATCTTCCCCCAGTGGAGGCATTACCCCCTTTGTTAGTGTTGATCCCCATGTCCCAGCCTTCAAAATCGAGGAGGAGGAGAAGGAGGAATGGGAAGAAGGATGAGGATGAGTAGGAGGAGGAGGGGGAGGAGTCCGCAGCCACTTTGGCTCAAGCGAAGGGCACACGCCCGACACGGTACCTTTCTTCAGGATTCACCCTCTTCGTGTCGTCTTTTGACCCTGATTCTGCCCAAGCGCATCTTTTTGAATTGCAATCGCGCTCCAGACTCGTGCGCCCGAGGCGGCATGGCATCCCCGGGGGTAAGAAAGGAACGATCTTAGTCCAGAGCGCTGGCCTATCTAGAGTTACTGGAGTCATCATTAGTCCGGTTCGATGAGAAGACAAGGTCACGCGAAAGGATAAAACCAAGGATATGACATTGCATAGCCCCGTGCGACAAGATATCAAGCTCCATGGCGGAATGGGGATGGGAAGGTAGCGGTTGGAGCAGCCCCGCTCCTGCACCTACTTTCAAGAACCCATGACCTTCGACGAAACCACAGTGGAAATGTGGAGTTCGCAGTTTGCAAACAATGCCGAGATGGGCACAAAGTGTAGACATTGCAAGGGCTACATTGGTGAGGCCAGTGAGGCAGCCACAAGTGTGCATCAGTTGACACTGGTCTCTCCTATTGGCGTTCTCCGTTCGTTTTTTTTTTTTGTCTCCCCCGTTGGCGCGTGACGGAGGCAGGCCGATCACATTCGAATCTAGCTCCCAAGTCACCAAAAGTGAATTGGAACAGTTCGCCGTTCTCATGGACCGTGCTTGATTCAAACAGAATGCTGACACATATCGGGACTAGTTCAGAGATAAGCGTACCGGCAGAGTTCCCCCCCCTGTTCAGCAGCGGGCGCTGGCAGCACATTCGGAAGTGGCAAATCTCGAGGCGAACAGGAGATAGGACAAATGGACAGACTGAAGGCACAGGAAAGCCAGCAGCGACTCGTGGTCTGTGTGAATCAGGAAGCGTCGGACGCAGCATATACCGAATACCGAGCGTTGGCGGCAGAGTTGGCAAAGGCAGGTGGGTCCCATTGGCAGAACCATCGGAACTACCAATCCCAAGGCTGGCAGAACGTCATCGGCCACAGATCTGTTCGATATACAGGAGCTGTCGATACGTTGCAGTAGTGGTTGACCGTTGGAGGCCCCAGCGCAGCATCGCGATCGGCATTTTTGCTTCGGAGCAGCATGTTTCTAGAATATGGGCTTTGGGCGAGGAGCCGACGAGCCCCCCTGGAGCCACGGTAGTTCCTCGCAGGTTTCCCCCACAGTTCCCTTATTGTCCCATAACCTTTGTGGTGCCTCTGGGAATCCTGTCTTCGGCGAGGGGTCGCGGCGGTCGCCTGAAGAGGCAGAGCGGCAATGCTTCTAGAGCCCAGGAGGCCCCTTAGCAAGCAATTGAATTTGATCCTGTCCCCGAACCTACTTTCCAGCCGCCTGACAGCATTAGGCCTCCGGGGTTTCGAAAAGAGGGATTTGGCGACAGTCAAGATTGAAACGTACAGCACCATTTCCTGGAAATCTATGAGACGGTACCTGGACCGTGAGACGGGTGCATCAGTTGTGTTGTTGCGGATGTTCACCCTGGCCCCTGCGGGAAGAATAGAAGGGGAGACCAATGTTCGAAAGTCTGGTTGGAACGCTTGCCTCCGCCCTTGGGATTGCTACCCTACGGGTAAGTTCTCGCCCCGCGAGCCTCCTGTTCTTCCCAGCCAGATGCTGCTTCGCTGGGGTAAAAGCTTTCACCCCAGAGTGCTCTGTCGCAGGTGGCGCTCGTCGTCTGCAAGTTCCCGGCCCAGACCGCAAGGGCCCAGAAATCGTAAGCGAGGCGCTCCGCTCAATTGGCACCCCCTTCGTCTTGGCACGAGATTGGCAGATCGAGCCGCAAGTGTTCCACGACTCCGGCTGGGCGCAGGGGATAGGAGAAGCGATCGCACTTCGGGCGAACAGGCGCGCAGACCGACGGCCGAGAGATGGCGGCCGAGAGCTGCCGGCTGCAAGAGGAACAACATTGCCGGCGAAGGCCCGCGCTGGCCAGCTGCCCCCGCCCTTCGCGGATACCCGACGGAGGCCTAGCACAGGGCGGCCACGAGGCCAAGGGCACCCTTGAAAGAGCCCCCAGTGGGGCCCCGACCTGAAGCCCCAGGTGTGTTCAAAATTCCGGAAGGTGCCCCAGTCAGAGGAAACTCGGAAGACCTGGACAAGTGCGCCCTGAAGTTCTCGGCCACCCTCGCGCCCGAGCTGATGGGCGCTGCGGGGGCAGGAAGAGCACGGGGGGGATGCAAGCAGCATAAGTTGAATCATAGGAATCCTTCCAGGACGGCAGGAGGCCCATGCCCCCTAGGAGCTCAAGTGAGTCGCAATTGTAGTAATGCTTCGGTTTGGTATCAGGAGTTCTGCCACATGAAATCTAAGTTGGACACTTGGAACTCTGAGGGTGTTGCGATTCACGGGCTATGTCCTAGCTGGCCCTGGAAGTTCGAGGAAGTCGCAGGACCGGGCGCGCAGGTTAAGTCATCGGGGCGAGACGACGCGCAAAGTATTCCTGCCGGGGGGCTACGAGCGAGGCAGCACGAAGCAGGGCAATTGTCGGCCGCGCAAGAGAAGATGCTTTTTTTTGACGAGGAGCCCAAATGGAGGAGCGGGTAGCTGAGTCCTTCAGAGCTGGCGAAGGTCAGGCCCATCAGCATGACGGGGCTCCGTCGGCCCGGCCCCCAGCGGAGTCGAACCGCTTGGGAGAAGCGCCGCTGGGCCCGGGACAGTGGATACAATGTCAAGTGGGCGGGTGGATGGGATCTGGGAAACCACCGCGCACGCGGAGGAGAACGCCGACACTTCCGCGGGGCCAGAGTTTCAGATCCGAAAGCGAGGCGGCGACGGTCGAGGCGCACTTCCTGTCGTCGGGGCTGCTTCTGACATGCGACATGCGCACTCTAAGTTCAGGCTTCGCGCAGGTCCAGGAGCGGACTTGATTCGCCGGGTCTGTCGCGGCGCTGGGCCGAGCATCTCGGCCGCGCCCCCTCTGTCGTAGCCTTCAATGCCCTTGTGATCTTTCTCTCGGACTGACGCGGGATTCTGCCCGATCGGACGGCTGCCGGGTCTTCTTCGCGCGTCGGCCGGCCAGCGAGGAAAAACGCAGGCGGGCGGGGGCCCGGGGGCTAGGTGCGGATAAAGAGGTAAGACTGGCGAGCAAGTTGTCTGGGGGCTGGCCGCTACGGGAAGACGCGCCGCAAATGACGCAACCATCTGATGCGGTTAGCATTGATCTTGCCAGGGCGCGCCATCAGACGTCCATCGTTCATTAGTAATGACAGCGGCCAAGCATGATGCCCCCCTGGTTCGTTTGCGTTCTCTTCTGAGGCAGCGTGAGGCAGCGTTATGGGTTATGGCCCGTTTGTTTTGCAGTCGAGGTCCATGGTTTCTGCGTGATTCTTGGCGGGGCAGGGGGTTGTTGCGGGGCGCTAGCAGGCCGCGTCGACCATGAGATTGGCGCTGGCGGCGCCGCGCGACACCGAGCGCATCTAGTGGCTTCCCACATGTATTTTCGACGTCGTTGACACGACCTTGCTTCGTTCGTTGCGGCAGTTGATGGCACTCCGGTCAATCTTCTTGGAGCGGTGGCCAGATTCGTCTGCGCGCGCATGGACAGGCCCAGTTGGTTGCGTCTCGAGAGGGGGTCATCGCGTCGTCTGATGGGGTCTTCGCAGTAGCATGTCAAAAGAAGCTAGATAAGTGGAGCCCCGTTGTTAATAACTCGGCGGGGAACCTAGGAGTCGAGTTCGCAATTGAGCGCGGGGTCAGGGCGTCGGTATCGCAGCGCTTCGGTTTCGTTGGCGCTGTTGCCGAGGTTCGAGCAGCTCGTTTGCAGGACCTGCCAAGGTGGCGAGAGCAGGGCCCCCCCCCCCCCCCAGCGGCGCGCGACGGAGCCCCGGCCATCGGCATGTCGGACAAGCGCCAAAGAGTTGCGGGCCCAGACGGACTGGGCCCAGCGCGGCGACCCCAGAGGCAGATCGCGAACGCTGGAATTCATTTTACGAGCTGAGCCGATGGTCGACCCCGGGTGCCAAGCATATCCTGGACTCGTGATTCCATGCGTCCCTGCGCAGCAGCAGGCATGGGTGCCAATTCAGATCATGCCATTTACAGTCGAAGCCTTCCCCGAGAGGGTTGGCGCTGGATGGCAGCGGGCCCAAGGACCTGGCTGCGCTGCAGTCTGCGCGCCCAGGAGGCTCAGGTGGAAGATCAACCATTGGTGGGATTCTGGGGCCACAGACGGTCGCGCCCCACTCGGCCCCAAGGACCGCGGCAAGAGGGGCGCCATACTGGCCCTGAACACCAGCATTCGCATGCTTCCCGCGAGTGCACTCGGAGGCCCCGATGGGGCCATTGTTTGAATATCGGGGCGCCCGTGCTTCCAAACCCTCTTCGAGTTCGTATCTCGTAGAGTTCAAAGCCGCGGGCCTGGGTGCGTCAGCAGGCAGGCTTGGTTCGACGGTGGCAAGTGGCCATCCGACGCAGCAGGCGTTGGTTGAGGGCCGCCGCGCGGCGGGCCAGCGACGCCGACGGTGATTGCGGGGCGCGGGCGCCAAGACGCACCGCTTCCACCGGGGCGACGGCGCCGAGATGATCCAGGGAGATTTGGATCCAGAAGATGTTGTGTCCATTGGCCGTGTAGGCCAGGATCGCAGCCTAGCTACCACCCGACGCACGATCGCCAGTCCTGTGTTGGAGTGGCCAACACCATATGGAATGCCGCAACCCCAATGGAGCCCTTGTCCGACAGGTCCTGGGCGCTGATTTCATTTGTTTGGATGGTTCGGTTCGGAATTCCGAGACGCTGGCTTTCTCTTGCGCTGGGTGCGCGGCGGTTGGATTTGATGCAAGGGGGCGACATGTTTGGGCCCCAGCATGGGCCACTCTCGCGTCCACTTCGGTTATCTGGATGCGGCGAAGTTGTCGCTGTATATCTGGCTCCATTGTGTTGTCGGGCCCATCCCCGCGACGATGGCAACTGACTGGCAGGCGGTTCTTGGCATTGGGTCCGAAGGTCCGTGGGGGATTTGCCCGACGCTTGTTTTAGCGAGGCCCGTGGGCATTTTCAGGCTTGCAAAGGGCATTGGGGCCAGGGCCATCGCGATGGTCAAACAAATGTCTCGTTTCCGCACGGCGGCGCTCTCCCAGGATGCTCCGCGCCGGCTTGGTTCGGCACCCGAGAGGGTCTCGCCAAGCTCGCTGCCCAAGGGCAGGCAAACTTCCCGTATGTCATGAGCCACGGCGAGTTTGTCTCGGAGAGGGTCCTACGGACGGCAATGCGCAGGACAGTGTTCCAGGCTTTTTCGGCAAAGCAGAATTTCCCAGATGCCCTTCGAGTTAAGAGAACAAGTAGGGCCAAACTTCTTGCCGATATTTCGCGCTGGACTCCCGGGGGCACCCGTTGTTCCGAAGTGGCTAGGGGTTCGTCTATGCCAAGTGTGCGGACAGGTATAGACCCAATATGTCTAGATGCGCTGCGCGCCGTAGAGGGGATTCCAGACATGCCCGAGGCGCGCACACAATCCACAGACTGGGAGTAGGAGGTGGCCACATTGTTTGGCGTTCGCGTTGCGAGTTTTTTGCCGCTGGTCGTCTGGCCCGCCCCAGGACGGAGAGCATCGGGGGCCCCCTCAACAAGCATGCGGGCAAGTCTTTGGCGTTGCTGAAGCAGGGGATCGGCCCCTCCATCAAGCGCCGATGTGGCAAGAGTTCCCTGTCCCCAAGCTCCTCTCCGTTCCGCCGCCGCCGCCGAACGCTCAATGGCGTCCGCCGCGTGGGGCGGTCGAGGAGCCAACGTTTTGTTTTCCTTCTTTTTTTTTTCGCGGTCTTGTTTCCGCAATCATCTGGTGTACTGGCGGCAACTTGGTGTAATCGCTGAAGGTTGCTGGAGGAGGATGGGGAGGAAGAGGCGGAGGAGGAGGACAAGGAGGGGCGAAGGAACAGGAGGACGGAGAGGAACATAAGGAAAGGAGGAGGAGGAGGCCGAGGCACAGCGAGGCGGGGTGCGAGAGGGGTGGGTGTGGGCTGGGGCGACGCGGGCCTACCAGGCACGACGAATGATGCCGCCTGCTTGTCCTCCGGTGCCCCCCCGCGGGCTCAGGAGTTGGCGGGCCGCCCGCCACCGCTTGGCGGGGGGGGGGGGGGGCGACCCACCAAGGGGGGGGGGCCACCAGAGGATGAGACCAACGCCTTCCTCTTGCTCTTTGTCCTCCTCCTCCTCCTCCTCCTCTTCCTCCTCCTTCCTCCACCTTACTTCGCCTTCAGGCCCGCGTGGCAGCAGCCAGCCACGCAGTAGCTGGAGCATTCCCATTTTCGACGTCGTCGGGGGGCTCCTGGCGAGCAATTTCTGAGCCTGTGAAACGATACGGACAGGTCGATCCAGTAAGAATTCCTCGCTGTCGGGGAATCGATACTTTGGCATCTTGCTCTCGACGGAAGGTTGGCGAAAACCGTCGGAGCGGATGCAAAGCGAGGGCGGCCCCTCCAGCAGCGGCCAGCGGAAGGAAAGGCCGCTCCCTCTGAAGAAATCAACGCCAGTGGATACCCCGGGTTTCGGAGCCAACCTCCCATAGTTCGTTCTTCCTCCTCTCACCTCCAGACACCTCCAAGGATCTCTGCGGACTTCATCGCGCGAGCGTAGCGATGGCCTCGGATGCGGCGGTCAGGCTCACGCGCTGCCGCGGACGCGGTAAACAGTCGCGTCGCTGCCGCGAGCGCGACGGGTTCCCTGGCGTCTGGCGCGGTGAGCGCCACGCAGCGATGCGCTGCGGCGCCGCGTTACCCCAGATATGCCGGGACGGGCCTCGCCCGCAGGTGGGGCGTCTCATCTCCGCCCTCACTGCGAGGGGGTGCCCACGATCTGACAGTGATGGCTGCCACGGCCGCTTCCACCTGGCCTTGGCTAGGCCCAGACGCCTGTCCGCAGTGGTGGTCGCTCGCTCGCCCGCTCTGGTGGTGGCAGGACTTGGGTCGCAGGCGCTCGGTGGAGGCGAAACCGGGTCCCAGCGGCGGTATATCCGCGGACGGCTTGCGTGCACCGTGCCACGTCTGTCCCCCGACGCGTCGTCGAATCTCGACCTGATAATGGTACCGTGCATATTTGTTTCCAGCCCGCAGAGCCGACACAACTATGTTCCGTTTCATATCTGGCCTTCGGAAGTCCAGACATGAAACGGTGCATGGTCGCCGTTCTCGTAGCATACCAGCACAGGCATCCCCCCCCCTGAGCGGGATATCGGGCTGGGGAGGCCTCACAGTGGCGCTGGGCTTCGACTCATTCCTTGTTCCCGCCCTCAGCCGCGGCCGAATGTGGGTATTTGCCAGAATGTTGTCCGAACTTGATCGCATGGCATGACACGATGCAGGATGAGCTGGATCCAGTCCAATTTTCCGTCGAACAAGCTTGTCTGGGAGGCTCAAGAGGGTATTGGTCAACATCTGGAAAGAAGGAGCGGCCATGCAAGTGTTGCCAAGCGGCGTACGTGCTCGTTGTGAATTACACACGCACGCCCTCGCCCCCCCCCCCCCACACACACACACACACACACACACACACACACACACACACACACACACACACACACACACACACACACGCACGCACGCACACGCACGCACGCACGCACACACACACACACACACACACACAACACACACACACACACACACACACACACACACACACACACACACACACACACACACACACACACACACGCACGCACGCACGCACGCACGCACGCACGCACGCACGCACGCACGCACGCACGCACGCACGCACACACGCACACGCACACACACACACACACGCACGCACACACACACACACACACACACACACACACACACACACACACACACACACACACACACACACACACACACGCACACACACACACACACACACGCGCGCACACACATACGTGGAGTATATACTGAAGTACACATTTAGTATATCATTCCCGCAGGCGGTGGTTCCATGAGGAACGGCCTAACAACGGAATGCCCAACGACACATCAAGTCTTGCAACATGCGTTGCGAGACTTGATGTGCGAGTCGAGGATATTTGCCGAGGGCTGCTGTTACGTGATGCACATTTAACAAGTAATAATCGGGATGTTCGTTTCACTCGGTGGCAGCTGTCACGATCAAGCGATTTGCGCTAGCGAGTGTCACCAGCAACAACCAACACCCCAGGAAAAGATGGCGCAGTTCGGTAGCCCTCAGGGGCAACGATGGTGGGGGATAGGCTGATGGGGGGGACGCATCGACCCCCAATCGCCCGGTGATCGCCGATTGGGGCCCGATAGCCCACCCCGCCAAGGAACGTGCGGATTCGCTATCGAAAGCCTATCGCCGATCTGTCGGCGACGTATCGCCGATTCCAGGACGATGTTGTCCCCCTGTGCCAGTCCGCCCCTGTCGTTGCCCCTCGAGCACGCACGCACAGCACGGACCGTGCTGCAGGACACCAGGACCTCGCGCTACGTTTAAGTCGCTCTGACCGCTGATCACCCGATCGCATGCTTGCTGTGCCGTCGTGGCTCCCTGCCGAGAGTCCGCCGTGCTTGCTGCCCCAGGCCGTCGACACGTAGCGGCCATTGGCTTAACGAGTCCTCGGACCACGCCAAGAGGGATGAGAAGATGTTGCGGAACAGACGGTGACAGAACACCAGAAAAATGAAGAGGATGAGGAGGAGGAGGGGGGGCAGGAATAGGATCAGGATGAGACGGAGGCAGAAGGGCAGCAAGGAGAAGCGGGAGGAACATGAGGAGAGCAGGCGGAGCAGGAAGAGAAGGTCGTCAGCGACCACATCTGACAAGCTCCGCAAGGCACACAACATGCGTCCTTCCACCTGCGAGACGCCGCCCGCCGAGGTCTCCCGGCAGACCTACATGGATGCGCCCGCCGCCTGCTACTTCTGCAACGACGTCACCGCGCCCGCGGAGCCCGCCTCCCTCCCAGCAAGCCCGCCCGACCTTCCGCCCCGCGGCACGCTCGGCATGGCTGAGTCTCGCGCGCACTTGCAGCCCCAGGAGATGGCCCAGGCTAGCCCCAACAATAGCCGCATTGTTCTCCCACCTGGCCAGGGGACCGTTCCACCACTTGGCCTTTGATTGCCTGCGCTCCTCCACTTGCTTGAGAGTGGCTAGTTCAATTCGCAGCCGCACCTCTCTTTCACTTGAGCCAAGCGGCCGTTCCACCACCTACCCGCTCTCGCCCAGCCGTACTTGAGACATAGCTTCTTACCTATATTTGAGTTGCGTTGCTACGGCACCGCGCAGACAGGGATTGATTATCCGTAAGGGCTTCGCCCCCTGCCACCGGCCCCCTCTCTCGGAGAATGGGCCATGGAAGAGCGAAGTCATGAGGCTTTGGTTCGCCGTGAAGCAGTGTCGGGACCTGTTTGTTTTTCAGCCCTGACCCTGCGGATCTGCGTGAGGGGTGTCGCCGAATTTCAAAAAAAAAAAATGTTTTTGGACCCCGACCCTACGGATCTGCGTGAGGGGTGCCGCCGAATTTCAGAAATGTTGCAAATCTCATGTGTTTTTGGACCCTGACCCTGCCGATCGGCGTGAGGGTTGCCACCGAATTTCAGACATGTAGCAAATCCCGCGTGTTTTTCGACCCTGACCCAGCCGATCTGCACGAGGGGTGCCACTGAATTTCAGAAATGTGGCAAATCCCATGTGTTTTTGGACCCTGACCCCGCCGATCTGCGTGAGGGGTGCCAAGAAATTTCAGACAAGTAACAAATTTCATGTGTTTCTTGACCCTGACCCTGCGGATCTGCTTGAGGCGTGCCGCCGATTTTTTCAGAAATGTAGCAAATCCCATATGATTTTGGACCCTGACCCCGCCGAACTGCGTAAGGGGTGTCAGGAATGTTCAGAAATGTGTCAAATCCCATGTGTTTTTGGACCCTGACCCCGCCAATCTTCGTGAGTGGTGTTAGGAAATTTTAGAAAAGTAACAAATCCCATGTGTTTTTTGACCCTGACCCCGTTGATCTGCTTGAGGGGTGCCAGCGAATTTCAGAAAAGTGGCAAATCCCATGTGATTTTGGACCCTGACCCCGCCGATCTGCGTGATGGGTTGCCACCGACTTTCAGAAAAGCGGCAAATCCCTTTTGGTTTTGGACCCTGACCCCGCCGATCTGCGTGAGGGGTGTAGATTTTTACCCTCCAGCAATTCAGACAATACGATTTGGGCGTGGTAAAAATACCCGTTTTGGGCCTCCCCCCTCGTGCGGTCCATCAACAAGGAACCGTAAGCAGCAAGACGTCCACAAGGAACAGTAAGCAGCAATAAGCAGAACTGTAACAGTGGAAACCGGAAGCTGCAACTGGTACAGGAAACTGCGAACCTCCGGCCTACAGCCTGGTGGCCCCACAATGGGGCCGGCGGATATAACAAGCTAGGGAAGGCACACATGAATGCCTTGCTGGGCCTCTGTCGCGCGCATGTCGGAATCGCTCGAACGCCTTTGCGCGCGTGCTGTCGCAAGAATCCCTGGCAAAAAAAACGGTACGAAGTGCACGCGCGCTCGCGTCGTCGTGCGCATGCGGAAATCCTTCAATAACCTCGGGTGTCGGAAGGGATTTCAAAATCGAGCGCCTCGAAAACATACAATAACACATGGTTGTGCAACTTCAGTTTTCAATTATTCTCGCGCTCGTGCTCCTGCGGATTCTTAAGCAAACCACTGGTTTTCAACATTTTCATTAAATGCGGCCAAACGGGCCCCTCGCGCCGCACGTCGAAAGCATTCGAACGCCCGTGCGCGCGTGCTTGGTGGGGGGGCACGACCCGTGTCAAAAATAACATTTGGGCCACTCTCGCGCGTCGGCCGCACGCGCATGTCGAACGCCCTCCAAAACCTTCATCGCCGACGCGAGGGCGCCGTCATCGTGGTCGGCGTGATCAGCATCGGCGCCGTCTCTGGCCTTGCCGTCGTCGTTGTCACCATCGTCACCAGCACCGCTACCATCATCATCGCGTCTGCCGTTGCCGACGTTGCCATGCTACTTCGCCCGCCCAAGTCGCCGACTCGCATTGAAGTGCCCGCTGGGAATTGCCCAGCGGTCAGCACCACCGCGGCCGCGTCGGCAGCGCCAAATTATCTGGCCGCTGCACGCGCGAGCATGCGCGGGCTAGCGCGGCCGCAGAGATGCACTAGCCAACTCCAAGCACACATCGCAATCGCCGCCGCAGGGGTTTTGCAAGCCAAGTTGCGGGTGGATGGGTGGGATGATTGCGCGAGCTGCGGAGTGGACAGCGCCGCGTAAGCAGGAATTCGTTGCACCACGTAGATTGCCCCACGTCGGGTGCCAGTACTGCAGGAAACGCATTGTTTGAGGTCTACGCTGGCTAATATTACGTTGGTTTGCTGCTGTTTGACGTATCGTCGCGAAACCGCTAACTGGAAATAGGGAATCATGCTACATCCCCTTGCATGATGTAATGCAGCTCTATGTTACGAGGGGGGGCCGTGGCGAACCGCACCCGATGGAACTGCTGGACGGCGCCGCAAGAACAGACCGGGGCCGATCTCGGTTCCTCGGGCCCCTGGCGGGGTGGTGCTTCGGAGCCAAACTTGGGGCCCTCGAGCCCCCATTTAAAGAGACCGCGAAGGACTTCCATAGGGGCGGCCCCGTTGGCCTCGCGCGTTGCGCCTGCGGGCGGACGGCGGTCTTGGCCCCCGTGCTGCGGGGAGCTGTAGGCCCACAATTAGGGGCGCCGTTTGGGTTGCAAGGGCCACGGGGTGCCTTCGTGACAAGCGGACGCTGCAAGGTGTTTCGGCGGAGCACCACGGGCCACGGGGCCTCGGCGGAGCAGACAGGGGGGCCCGGCGGAGCAACCGAGGGCCCCCAGTAGAGCGTTGCGTTGGCCTCGGGGTGTGTCGCGGGTGCCCCGGGGGGGCGCTGCGTGATGAGCACGCCGTGCTCCCAAGGGTGTGTTCTGTGGGCCTTATGGGCCCCGTGGGGCGCGTTACACGGGCCCGAAGAGGCGTCGCGTGGGCCTGGGCCCGAGGAGGGGAGGTGTCGCGGCGGTACGCGGAGGCATTGCAGCGGCCTTGGGAGGTGTTGCGCGTGCTAGGGAAGGTGTTCCAGAAACTCTGGGGACACGATATGCTTGCGTCGTTGGGGCGCCCTTGGGTCTGGTAGAACGTCGCCGCCTCGCTCGCGGCGTCTCGCCGCTCGGGTGGCTCGAGACATCCGAGGAGGGCGCGAGGCCCGCTCGCCCCTGGAACCTCGTCGCAGCCGCTCGGCGCGGGCCCGTGGATTTGGCAGGACCAGTGCGCGATCAGCGACGCTCGGGCGCCTTCGAGGGCTAGGGGGCCCTGCAACGCCGCGCGACACGCGCGCTCCTGGCGGAGGGGGGAGTCTCGCAAAGAAAAGCCGCAAGGCGGAGGTGCTAGCGAGGAGGAGGAGCAAGAGGAGGAGGAGGAACGCTGGCCGACACAGATGAGCAGCGGTCCGTGTTGGAGTTCCGTGTTGCGCTAATTACGTATTGGGTTCCGTGCCGATTTTTTACCTAACAGCGAAGACTGATAGGTTTCTAGTGGTCTCAAAAGAGAGCATCATGACTCCCCTGGGGAGTCTGGGCAGATGCCGGACGGGTGCCGCGGGAATCTGGGGAAATCCGGGAACTCTTTTTTTAGCCAACAGTAGCGCACTTCGTGGTCTTCGAGTTCCCAGAACTCCATTCCTGGACATGATTTTGAATGCCCGGAGCCAGCTGTAGGCCACTTCGTGTTCTTCGAGTTCCCAGAACTCCATTCCTGGGCATGATTTTGAATGACCGGAGCCAGCTGTAGGCCACTTCGTGGTCTTCCAGTTCCCAGAACTCCATTCCTGGGCATGATTTTGAATGCCCGGAGCCAACTGTAGGCCACTTCGTGGTCTTCGAATTCCCAGAACTCCATTCCTGGGCATGATTTTGAATGCCCGGAGTCAACTGTAGGCCACTTCGTGGTCTTCGAATTCCCAGAACTCCATTCCTGGGCATGATTTTGAATGCTGAGGCAGGCTGAGGCTGAGGCTGAGGCAGGCTGAGGCTGAGGCAGGCTGAGGCTGAGGCCGAGGCTGAAGGCAGACTGAGGCTGAGGCTGAAGCAGGCTGAGGCTGAGGCTGAGGCAGGCTGAGGCTGAGGCTGAGGCAGGCTGATGCTGAGGCAGGCTGAGGCTGAGGCTGAGGCTGATGCAGGCTGAGGCTGAGGCAGGCTGAGGCTGAGGCCGAGGCTGAAGGCAGACTGAGGCTGAGGCTGAAGCAGGCTGAGGCTGAGGCTGAGGCTGAGGCAGGCTGAGGCTGAGGCTGAGGCAGGCTGATGCTGAGGCAGGCTGAGGCTGAGGCTGAGGCTGATGCAGGCTGAGGCTGAGGCAGGCTGAGGCTGAGGCCGAGGCTGAAGGCAGACTGAGGCTGAGGCTGAAGCAGGCTGAGGCTGAGGCTGAGGCAGGCTGAGGCTGAGGCTGAGGCAGGCTGATGCTGAGGCAGGCTGAGGTTGAGGCTGAGGCTGAGGCTGAGGCTGAGGCTGAGGCTGAGGCAGGCTGAGGCTGAGGCTGAGGCTGAGGCTGAGGCTGAGGCTGAGGCAGGCTGAGGCTGAGGCTGAGGCTGAGGCTGAGGCAGGCTGAGGCTGAGGCTGAGGCAGGCTGAGGCTGAGGCAGGCTGAGGCTGAGGCCGAGGCTGAAGGCTGAGGCTGAGGCTGAAGCAGGCTGAGGCTGAGGCTGAGGCAGGCTGAGGCTGAGGCTGAGGCAGGCTGATGCTGAGGCAGGCTGAGGCTGAGGCTGAGGCTGATGCAGGCTGAGGCTGAGGCAGGCTGAGGCCCGAGGCTGAAGGCAGACTGAGGCTGAGGCTGAAGCAGGCTGAGGCTGAGGCTGAGGCAGGCTGAGGCTGAGGCTGAGGCAGGCTGATGCTGAGGCAGGCTGAGGCTGAGGCTGAGGCTGA